GCTCTTTTTTTTTTTTTTTTTGAGACTGTCATAATCCTTGACTCCATGTAATAGAATAGAACTCTGCCAGCTGTTTGAACTAAGTGAGAATCTTAGGCGGCTTTATTATGACTCATTAGAGTGAGGCAGTCACTACGGATAGTGGTAGAAGAAGAGGAATAACCTTCCTTGTTTCCACAAATGCCTTTTTTCTTTGAAATGTATCTTTTATTGCAAAACCACTATTGAAATAATGGATTATTGTGGTGTCCCCTATGTTTATGATGTATATTCTAAATTATTTGGAAGAATTCTACTTAACTGGTAGTTCTTAAAGTATGGCCACGGGTCCAGCAGCATCAGGATGACTTGGAGACTTGTTAGAAATACTACTTCTTGGGTCCTACCTGAGATACTCTGGGGATGGGAACAGAAATCTTTTAGTTAAGCCCTCCAGGTGATTATAGTACATGCTACAGTTTGAGAATCGTGGAACCGGATGATCACACCCATCATTTATTGAAATCTTTTAGACCTCAGGAAGGCAACTGTATTCTTTTTGCCTTCTACCCAGTATTTAGATGGCACTAGCTATGTGCCAGTCACTGCCCAGGCACCAGGGAAACACTCCTTGACATGATAGACAAGATCCCTGCTCTCCAGCAGCTTACATTTAGAGAAAGGATACTGACTGTAAACCAAGATTGTGACAGGTATAATGCAGAGAATTAAACTTAGGTGATAGAGTGTGTGTTGGGAAAGGCCTTTCTGAGGAGGCGAAGTATAAGCTGAGTTTTCAGTGCTAACAAGGGCCACCTGTGTGAAGATCACTATAAAGTACTGTAAGATGGGACTTCTCTTTGGTGTGTTTGAGGAGCATAAAGAAGGTCATTGTGGCTGGAGTTGAGTGGGCAAGGGGAGAGAGGTATAAAATGAAGTTGGACAGGTAGGCAGAGGCCAGATCATGTAGGACCTTGTAGGTGTTGCTAAGCACTGCCACCCTCTTTTTTGTTGTTTGTTTGTTTAAATTGTGGTAAATTTCACATAAGACTTCCCATTTTAACCACGTTCAAGTGTACAGTTCAATGGTATTATGTATATTCATATTGTGGGACAATCATTATCAATGTCCAGCTTCAGGACTACAACTTTGACTTGACTTTGTGTGGTGTGGGGAGCTTTTAGGAGATTTGGGCAAAGAAGTGACATAACCTGAACCTCAGAATAAAAGAATTACTGTCTGTTAATGTTGAGATCTGACTCTAGAGGGGCGAGGAAGAAAGCAGGGAGACCCGTCAGGAGGGTGCTGCAGTAATCGAGGTGATATGATGGTGATCTCTCAAGGATGGTTGTATTTGGGGGTGCTAAGAAACTTTGAGATTCTGGATATATTTTGATGGTAGAATCAGTAGACTTTTCTGATTGGTTGACTGTGGCATATGAAACAGGGGAGTCGAGGATGACATTAAGTTTTGTTAGTCTCAGCAACTAGTAGAGTTCAGGAGATGCAGGTTTGAGGGAGAAAAATATGATAAGTTAAATTAGAATTGCTTCTTAGATGCCCAGTTGGGATTTTTTTTTTTTTTTTTTTTTGGAGACAAGGTCTCTCTATGTTGCTTAGGCTGGCCTCAAACTCCTGGCCTCAAACAATCCTCCTGCCTTGGCCTCTCCAGTAACTGGGCATCACCCACCTATGCCTGGCCCAGTGGGGATGTTGAGTAGGTAGCTGGATAAGGGAGTCTGGAGTCAGGGAAGAAGTAGTCAGGTTGGAGATGTGACTGGGGCTTGCATGCTTGGTAATGAAAGCCCAGAGACTGAATGAGATCATCTAAGCAATGAGTGTGGACAGGGACAGTAGGAGAGCTAACCTGAGAAGGAATTAGAAAGGAGTAGCCAGTGAGGTAGGAAGACGACCAATAGAGAGCAACATCCTGAAAGGCAAGGGAAGAAAGACATTCAAGGAGGAGGGCAAATGGATCAACTATCAAAAGCTATTGACAGGCCGAGTAAGATGAGCACTGAGAATTGAGCATTTAAATACATTTTAGCAATGCAGAGGTCTGTGGTTACCTTGACCAAGTTGTTTCAGTGGTGTGGTGGGTTCAGAAGCCTGGTTGGGGTGTGTTAGAGAAAGGAAGAAGCAGCAGAAACAATGAGTATATACATTAGGCCATTTTTCACTTAGATAGCAGGGCTGTACAAAACACCCTGTGGTACAGGATAATGTGTTGGTGTCCCTGTGTTTTAAAGTTTGGATACAACACCTGCATGCTCATTTTATTTCAATTTTTAAAATGCATAAAAATAAATTAAAAATGGAAACTTGAGTAAAAATGTGGGAAGCTCTAACGAACCTCCATGAAGTCCTAGGATCCTGAATAACACACTTTGAAGGCTGTTATATTAATAAAGAAGGAATGAAATTCTGAGATGAAATTCAGCCAGTTGCAATCTAGGCTTAAGAAAGACATTTTGAGGTTTCAGAGAGAATCTTCCTGATGCTCTTCAGATTATACTACCTATTACTCATGAAAGATGACCTTAGAACTTCCCTTTCTTTCATCAAATGTTCTACCTTAAGATCTTTTGAATGAAAGGGGTGTTTGCATATGGTATTTTCCACAAATATTGAGTCCCATATGCCAAAGATGCCAAGATCATTTTGTACCCTCTTGCAGGGAAAAAAGAGCACAACAGATTTTTAAGGTCCTCTTGAAACTTCAGTTTACTTAATTTTTTATAAGTAAGATACGGTGACTTAATGTCTGATTTAAAAAATAAGTCTGCTTGACAAGGTATATTTAAATACCTTGAATTTTAGAGCAGCCAACTCTTTGCTACAGACACTTGAAAGCAAAAGCCCATGTTTCTCTTTGGGGAAGAAATGACGATTTTACACCCCTGAAGTAAGTAGATTCCTGATTCACAAAACACACATTTTTCTTTTCCCTCCTAAAGACGTAGAGGGAGTATTACCATTTTTTACTGAGTGTAAAATGTCATTATTTATAACATGAGCCATAATTTAAGGTATTACTAAGAAAGAAAAAAATGCTGGCTCTTAGAATTGTAAAATGCTATCGGTTGTAAGAGACGTGAAAATGTGGAGGGAAACAGTTCATCCTAGAATCAAATAAAATAGGATTTGAGGACCAGGAGGCATAAGTTCTGGTCGTGGCCATGTTTCTAGGCCAGTCACTTTAGATTCCCTTTGCCTGAGGTTGCTCATTTGTACGACTGGAGTAATGCCTGACACACCTATCTCGCAGGATTATGACAATAACAAAATGAGATAACTGAGATTGCTATTTTGAAAAGTAGATGCCACTGGGCATATTAAAAGTATTTATTTGATGTAAATAAATCCTTAGACATGATTAGGCAACTCAGAAAGTTTCTTACCTCATCTTTGTTGTCAGATTTAAAATAGAATTAAGTTACAGATATTTGAAAGTACAACATTTTCTTCTGCTAAATGGTTTTTATTTCATCTGGAAACATCTTTTTATGGTAGTTTTGAAATTAAAGAGAAAATGTAAAAATGATATAACCACAGTGCTCTTATTATCTGGAATTAACCGTTAACATTCTGTTCTGTGATCTTTTAAAAATTTATGAACTATTGGCCGGGTGCAGTGGCTCCCAGCACTTTGGGAGGCCAAGGTGGGCGAATTACTTAAGGTCAGGAGTTCGAGTCCAGCTTGGCCAACATGGTGAAACCCCATCTCTACTAAAATACAAAGGATTAGCCAGGTGTGGTGGTGTGTGCCTGTAATCCAAGCTACTTGGGAGGCTGAGGCAGGAGAATCACTTGAACCCGCGAGGCAGAGGTTGCAGTGAGCTGAGATTGTGCTGCTGAACTTCAGCCTGGGCAACAGAGTGAGACTCTGTCTCAAAATAAATAAAGAAATTTATGAACTATTATGAAATAAAAAAGTAAAAGAGTATAATAATGAAAATTCATATACTTACCATTGCCAATACAAGTGAAGGCCCATTAGAATCCTGAAGATCATGAACTATCATGAACTACGTGGGAACAGTGTCTTACATTTAGATTGGCATCTTGTCTTCACAATAATCTAGTGAGATACACTGTTCCTCTTGTTTAAGTCTTGAAAACCTGTAAATAAACAAGTTAATCTTGTCATATTTGTGCTTTATCCTGGAATATACTGAGGAGAGGGCTTCTTTGTGCTGGTGTTGCCTTGGTCTGAGTTTCCTCAGATTTCTACCTCTGGGTTTGGTGATCTAGCTGTGGAAACTGGAAATATGACATCTGTAAAACTATAGTAATAGCTAGCCTATTATGTGCCAGACATCATGCCTAGACAATTTGTGTGTGTGTGTATGTGTATATATGTGTATATAATTTTATACATATATATGTATATAATTTAATATGTATATAATGTATATGTATATAATTTTATTATTCATTTTTGAGACAGTGTCTCACTCTGTTACCCAAGCTGGAGTGCAGTGGCATGATCTTAACTCACTGCAACCTCCACCTCCTGGGCTCAAGTGATCCTCCTACCTTAGCCTCCCAAGTAGCTTGCATTACAGGTGTGCACTACCATGCCTGGCTGATTTTTGCATTTTTTTTGTAGAGACAGGGTTTTGCTATGTTGCCCAGGCTGGTCTTGAACTCCTGGCCTCAAGTGATCCTCCCACCTTGGCCTCCCAAAGTGCTGGGATTATAGGCATGAACCACCACACCTGACCTGTATGTGTGTGTGTGTGTATATATATATATAAAAAATATATATATATAAAATATATATATATATAATATATATATATATTAAGTTTTACAATCATTCTTCTGGCTAGATGTTTTCATTTTGTAGTTTAGGAAGGCATGGGCTCAGAGAAATAGAGTAGCTGGTCCGAAGTTCCATGGTCATTAAGTTGTGAGCTGATGATTTCCATGAAGGTCTGTTTAATACCACAGCCCACATGTTCTATACCAAGCTGCCTCAATCCTCATCAGTAATCATGATCTGTTTCTTTTGTAGGCAGAATCCAGAGACCACATTTGAAGTATATGTTGAAGTTGCCTATCCCAGGACAGGTGGCACTCTTTCAGGTACTTTGCATGTTTGATTATGATTTGGTATGTTACTTATTGTTTGAGATAGCCATGCACACGAGATAATATTTTAATATGAGTAAATGGTTATTTGTCTCTAAGTATGTTTAAGTGCCTTTTTCCTTTTATTCATGCCCACATTATCCTAGGAAGAATGGAGAACGAACACATAGTGAATAGTCTGAATTAAGAGTTCAAGCATAATAGGCTTGAAGTATGGCTTTATTCATTGTAATCATTGGGTCTTGGTTTGCATCTTTCACAGATGCCTGGAAGTCAACTATTTAGTGTGAAATATTGTCACCTTGCTAATGAGCAGGGCTTCACCTCTAGTCTAGCTTTCTAATGGTATAATTAGATTATAGGATACAAAATAATAAAAAAGGGAATTCTCTGCCACTAATCTAGAAGGAGATGCTTGGACTTAATTTAGTAAATTTTATGTCTGCTGGCAAAAGAAGGTTGAAAATTAGTTGAAGGAAACACCTCCTCTGGCTTTAGCTTTTGGGCTAATTTAGATATGTGTTCCTGGACAAGAGGGTCCTAGGAAAGACCAGGGTACCTCGTGCAGGCAGCGTGTATCACTTCTTGACCTAAAATCTTTTTTGGTTAATGAGAAAAATAACCATATGATCCAGTATTCTTTTTCTTGGTGCCTAAGAGAGTGATACATTTTGCCAAAGGTATGCTTAGGACTCTTGGTCCACCCACAAAAACACCTGCATATATTAATATTATTATTATTTTTTTGAGACGGAGTTTTGCTCTTGTTGCCCAGGCTGGAGTGCAACGGCGTGATCTCGGCTCACTGCAACCTCTGCCTCCTGGGTTCAAGCGATTCTCCTGCCTCAGCCTCTCAAGTAGCTGGGATTACAGGCATGTGCCACTACGCCCAGCTAATTTTGTATTTTTAATAGAGACAGGATTTCTCCATGTTGGCCAGGCTGATCTCGAACTCCTGACCTCAGGTGATCCCCCCGCCTCGGCCTCCCAAACTGCTGGGATTACAGGCATAAGCAACCGCACCTGGCCTATATTAATATTATTTGGGGTATAGAGATAGTGAATCTACTTGGATTAGAAACTTGGAGTAATCAGGATTCCAATGGTAGTTAGGCTCTTAATTGGCTTTACAGCCTTGGGCATATGTTCTGTTATTTTAATTAGATTGTAATAATTGTAAACATTATTTGCTACCTTTCATTGAGTACCTGTTGTTATTCTATATGCTGGACATATATAGTGTCATTCGTTACAACGCATTTTTAAAGGTAGTTGGGCGGCATCCTCATTATACCTATGAGAAAATAGAATCCCAGGGAGGTGAAGTAACTTACGAAAATCATATAGCTACAGTGTGATAGCCAGGATTTTTGTCTAAGTCCTCTTTGCTCTGCTAAGTTGCCTTCTTGAGGGTAGTGACCATGCTGTACACATCTCTACATGTCACCTGCAGGGCTTTGCACCATGTCACCAATAGTTGTTGATGAAAATGAATGAGTTTTCCTTTATAGCAAATGTGTGAATAACTGTGCTGTACTTTTTGGATTATCTAATGAAGGCCATGAAACACATTACAAATTTATGCTTGTCCTGGAAGTAGAACGTGTGCATCTGTGTTAAGTTATGCCTCTTATTGTACATGGAAACCATTGGGTTTCAAAGGGAATTCTCTGTTCCCAGGTGTGTATATGCAGGAGCACTTCATAGGCTGACTTTACAGAGTTACGATTTGACAGTGGCTGTGATTTAACGATAAACTTAAGGACAAAACATTTTCTTATTTCTACAGTTGCTAATGTTTTTCCCTTTCAGTGCTCTAGGATTTTTTCCCCAAAGTTAAAATTAATTTTTTAATATGAACAAAATCTGAAAGGTACAGATGAAATGGAAGAATGAACAAAGTGAATAGCATTTATACTACTTCCTATTTCAGCCATCTCGTTCCTCTCCCTATAGACAACACCTTTGTTTAACTCTACAGTTTAATTTTTAAACTCTTATTTTATGTATTTATTTTCATGAGATGGAGTTGCTCTCTTGTCACCCACGCTGGAGTGCAATGGCGTGATCTCAGTTCACTGCAGCTTCCGCCTCCTGGGTCAAGTAATTCTCTTGCTTCAGCCTCCCAAGTAGCTGGGATTATAGGCATCCGCCACCACTCCCAGCTAATATTTATATTTTTTAGTAGAGATGGAGTTTCACCATGTTGGCCAGGCTGGTCTTGAGCTCCTGACCTCAGGTGATCTACCCACCTTGGCCTCCGGAAGTGCTGGGATTACAGGTATGAGCAACCGTGCCCGGCCTATTTTTTTTAACTTTTTGTTTTGCAAGTATCTTATTTTATTATTATTTTTGAGACGGAGTCTCGCAGTGTCGCCCAGGCTGGAGTGCAATGGCGTGATATCGGCTTACTGCAGCCTCCACCTCCTGGGTGCAAGCGATTCTCCTGCCTCAGCCTCCCAAGTAGCTGGGATTACAGGCGCCCACCACCATGCCCGGCTAATTTTTTGCATTTTTAGTAGAGACAGGGTTTCACTATGTTGGCTAGGCTGGTCTCGAACTCTTGACCTCTTGATCCACCCACCTTGGCCTCCCAAAGTGTTGGGATTACAGACGTGAGCCACTGCACCTGGCTCTTATTTTTTAATTAGTATAAATTTAGGGGGTACAAGAGCAGTTTTGTTACGTGCGTATATTGCATAGTGGTGAAGTCTGGGCTTTTAGTGTACCTGTCACCTGAATAGTGTACATTGTACCCATTAAGTAATTTCTCATCCCTCAGTCCCTCCCACTCTTTTGAGTCTCCAGTGTCTATTATTCCACACTCTATGACCATGTGTACACATCATTTAGTTCCCACTTACAGGTGAGAACATGCTGTATTTGACTTTCTATTTCACTTAAAAGAATGGCCTCCAGTTCCATCCATGTTGCTGCAAAAGACATTTTTTCTTTTTTTTTTTTTTTTTTTTTGAGACGGAGTTTCGCTCGGTCGCCTAGGCTGGAATGCAGTGGCCAGATCTTGGCTCACTGCAAGCTCCGCCTCCCGGGTTCATGCCATTCTCCTGCCTCAGCCTCCCGAGTAGCTGGGACTACAGGCGCCTGCCACCATGCCTCAGCCTCCCGAGTAGCTGGGACTACAGGCGCCTGCCACCATGCCTGGCTAATTTTTTTGTATTTTTAGTAGAGACAGGGTTTCATCGTGTTAGCCAGGATGGTCTTGATCTCCTGACCTCATGATCCGCCCGCCTTGGCCTCCCAAAGTGCTGGGATTACAGGTGTGAGCCACCACGCCCGGCCCAAAAGACATTTTCTCATTCTTTTTTATGGCTGAGTAGTATTCCACATTTTCTTTATCCAGTCACCCATTGCTGGACACTTATATTGATTCTATATCTTTGCTATTGTAAATAGTGCTTCTCTAAACATATGAGTGCAGTTATCTTTTTAATGTGATTTATTTTCCTTTGGGTATATACTTGGTAATGGAATTGCTGGATCAAATGAATTGTTTTGAGACTATTTTAAGAGTTACAAGAACAGTCCAGGGCATATGCTCTTTCCTTAGATTTGCCAGTTGTTATTATTTTGCTGCATTTGCTTTCTCACCCCCCCAACGCATACACAGCACATACGTGTGCATGTGCATATACGCACACAGAATTTTTGCTGAATCATTTAAGAGTGAGTTGCAGACATTATGACCCTTCACCCCTGCATATCCAGGAGATATTCTGGATGTATCTCCTAAGAATAAAGACATATTCTTATATACCCCTAGTATAATGATTGAAATCAGAAAATTTAATGTTGATATAATGTCAGTTGCCCATATTTAAATTTAATCAATTGTTATATCATGTCCTTTATAGCATTTTCCCTATGATCCAGAATCCAATCCAGAATCATGCAGTCCATTTAGTTTTCATGTCAGTTTGCTTCCTTTCAGCTCAGAATGATTTTTACAGCCTTTCTTTGTCTTTTTTGACATGTTTTTGAAGAATTTGGGTCTGTTGTTTTGTAGAAAGTTCCTGGATTTGTATCTGTGTGATTGGATCTTCATGGTTAGATGAAGGTTATGGGTTTTTGGTAGAAGTATCTCAAAAGTGATGTGTCCTTCAGTGCATCCAGTAAGCAGGCACATGATATCTGTCCTGTTATTTGTGAAAAAGTACATAAAACATATGTACAGTTTAACAAATAAGTATAAAGTGAGTAACCATGTTATTACGATCCAGGTTAAGAAATATAATGTTACCCAGTTCTTCAGAAATACTGGTCCTGGCAAGAGGGACCCCTGACTTGGCCTGCTGCTTTAGAGGGATCTGCTTTGTCCTTCCTCTACCAATGCCCTTTCCACAGAGCATATTCTGGAGCCTACGGAATATGCTCACTTGGAGCCTAGACCCTTCCATCCTAGACCATGCTTTGAGCACCCAGCATCTCAGACCTTCTTGCCCAAATGGCCCTGAGCTTTTTTTCTGGAGCCTGTGTGAGTCTCTCCCCTGGGGTCTGTCCTCCTGGGAGTGGACTATGCTGCTGGTGTATACATCCCTAGGTATAAGGGGCGGTCTAAGGATAGCTGTCAGTGGGGAGTAGAGTATGGGATAGAGCTTGTAGTGCAGGATGGAGAGGGGGCAGTGGGCAGTGAGCCAGTGGCCAGTTTGCCCTGCACCACTGCTTTTCTCCATGGAATGCTAATACAAAACTCAATATGAACCTGGTCTTCTAGTTAGTTGTAAAGGTATATTTATTATGGCAGGAGGATAGAAAATATTTAATAGTTTGTATGGTCGTTTTATAACTTTTAAATATGTAAATATTCAGATGTATGGTCTGTAGGTCTCTATTTGAACCCTCGCCTAAGCCCTGTAAGTGTTACAGGTGGGTTTGCCCAGCACCCCAGAGGCCCCTCCTCGCTCCCTCCCTCCCTCTCTTTAGAGGTAACTACTAGCCTGACTTTTATGATAATCATCTGTTTGTTTTTCTTCATA